TAACATCATAATGTTGCGAAGAGGGGTGTCCCCAATGGATGGCCGAGAATCTCAACTTCTGGTGAATGAGCAAGAGAGACATTTTTGCATCACTGTTATTCTGGTACCTAGCTTGATCAGCTTGTCACACTCTGTCCGACACACAGGGCAAAACTCAAATAAACTCAACAGCAACGATTCTGCTACAAGAAACAACTTCTGTTCGTGGGCAGGTGTATTGCCAGGAGGTTGTCTGTAAAAATAAGATTTCAAGTGTTTATTCCGGTGAGATCTGTTTACCAGGTAAATGCAAGGATTGTACTCATTGGAATGAGTCTGGTTCATTAATCAGGTTTTATCGATGTAATGAATGCATAACAAAGTTAAATGATCAATTGTTTTTACATGTCACTCAATCGTACATTAACAATCGTCGAAATCAGCAAAATCTTCATCCTCATCTCTCACATTTTCAGGGTCGGGAACATTTAAGGGGTCGTACGTCGTCTGCATCCATCTCCTCTTCCGAATCTGATAGCTCATCGTCACTTGCACAAGGTGTTGATGTAACAAACGTCTCTTGTAAGAGAATGCATTGGGTTCCTTGACTCTTAGTACATTGAATACCTATAGAAATCATAATCAAAACGTTTGTAAACAAACGGTTATTTCGGAGAACCATATTTGTTTTGATTTCATAACACAATTCTACAAACTTGCCTTTCGCAGTACTCTTAGTTCGAAATTGCACAGAAACATTTTTTCTGTTGGACCGTGGCTGCCTCCTGTACGCAAGCTAAAGATTCAGCTCCACTTGCTGTTTCATGCCCTTTGACAATGTCTTCACAGGATACCGTAGAGTTGTCTTTTTCATGTTGAGCGACGATCGATCTTTGAAAAAAAAAAACAAAGTAAGTATAGACATTACTTATTCGTGGGCTACAAATACTTTAATGCCAGTTGTAAACAATCTGCAATACGTACACTGCTTCTCTTTTTCTATAGGCTCCCCAGGGCTGCTTCTGAAATTGCTGAGCACGAGACCAAGACGCCGGCGAAGAGGACCTTCTGTGCGGTCTCTGCTATTCCCGTCTTTGCTTCTTTTGTGGCGGACAGTTGTTAAATATGGTCGGAACAGCACCGGGTTTTAAAATTCTTTTCATGTTTAACCCTAACGAATGAGCAATCAGTGACTGTGTTTCAAATGAATCGTCCGAAAAGTGACAACTACAAAGTTTGCTCGAGGCCGTCTGGTTAAAATTTGCTCGCGTGTTTCTCACAGCACTCGTC